TTCCTTAAAGGCAACGCTTCCTCTTACATATACTTTGGGTATACGGTCAGGAAAGACCCGTCCCTGGAGAAGGACAACATGCCTGGTAAGTGGAGAGGCATCGGAAAAGGAAGGTCCTCAATGAGATGGATTGACAGTGGCTGTGAAGGGCTTACGGGAGGATGGCACAGGACCACTGACAGGGTACCGCTCTGTTATGCACAGGGTCTCCATGGGTTGGCATCTAACAACAACAAACAGAGGTTGCCTAAGTGACTGGCCTCCATAAAAATGTTGGCTGTTGAGTCTAATGAACCTCCTTGATACATTTGACCAATAGGAGCTCCTTCAACAACTTCTGTGACCACTTGACATCTCCTCATTATTCTGTGAGACTTTTACTTTGATATATATAAGATGTGCCCTGGAATCTGCCATTCACCGAGGACCCTCCTTTGGCTGGGGAGCGGCTTTTCGACTCAGTGTCTGCATACTAGGGGTAGGCGCTGCTGGGGTGTGTGTCAGGCTTTCAGACCACCTCACCTACAGACCAGGAATATAAGGATGCACAGTACAGACAGACACATGCCATTCCTGGTGGCAGTTACTCAGCTACCCAGAGAAGCCTCAGAAAAAAGCCCTGACGATCTGCTTCAAAAACACAACAGCCAGTCAAAATAACAATTTATAATTGATCAAGGGTTCATTAGGATGGGACAGTGAGGGAGGGAGAGGAAAAAAGAGGAGCTTATACCAAGGGGTCAAGTAGAAAATGTTTTGGAAATGATGGCAACATATTTACAAAAATGCTTGATACAATTGATGTATGGAATGTTATAAGTGCTGTAAGAGCCCCCAAATGATTATTAAAAAAAACAAAACGCCACTGAGAACCCAAGGGAGCGGTGTTACTAATACACAACGAGGTCACCACGAGTTGCAGTCAACCTGACACCAACTGGGTCTGGGTTGGACTGACACGCACACGCACACGCACACGCACACGCACACGCACACAAATAGTTCCTTCTATGTGGGGACAGCTATTCGTTTACACCGTGAACTCCAGTTCATTGTCTTCCGGATTTGTAACTCCCTTATCTGAGAAGAAGCAAGCTGACTTCCCAAGTCCTTTAGTAACGAAAAGCTAGGTTAGTGCTCCATGAAGTTTTTGAAGCCACCTTATAAATACAACCTCTTACTGCCTTCATTCCCACCTGGGACCCTCCTAACCCCACTGAGCTCGCACATCCTGGTCCAGGTCACCCCTCCACATGGACGCCCTTTCTTACCTTGCCTGGCTGTGCCAGCCCGCGTTATGCAGCCGTCCTCCACACACAGAAGTGTCCTCTCTGCTTACAGCACACTCCCAGTCATCCAAGTATGCCGACTGGCTTTTCCCCACCTATGATGTCCGGGTGTTCACGTCAGGTGAGCAGCCGTGCAGAAAGGGAAGCGAAGAACGCAAAAGGGAGCACTGTCCCAAGAACAAAACCAACAAGGGAATTAGAAAATCGCTGATCCATCCCACTCAAGAGATGCAACACTCCAGACAAAAATACTGGCAAACACTCCGATGATGCATCCCAAGTGGGACCTGAATGGGTGACTTGACATTCAAACTATCTATTAAGTTCACATTAATAGAATGAGATGCAAAAAAAAGTATGATAAAACAGTATTAACTCATAATTCAAACAAATCCTTAGTGAGACAAAACTGAAAACCCAGTCATCGAGTCAATTCCAATTCAGTGACCCTATATAGAATTTCCATAGCCATAAATCTTTACAGAAGCAGAAAGTCTCCCTTTTCTCCCAAGAAGTGGCTGGTGGGTTTGAATCACTGATTTTACTGTCCAACACTTACCTGACAGCACCAATTACCACTCTATTTAACACGATCACTACATCTATTTAACATTATATACAAGTCCTAGACAGAGGAATAAGGCGAGATAGAAAAGTTGGAAAGGGGAAACAAATCTGGAGATGACATATGAGGTAGTAAGTTTATTGTGCCAACCTGGCCGATAATTGAAGGGCGGAGAGATACATGGCTGGGCGAGCCTCACCTTTCCTGTCTCTCGCTCTTTGACCATCGGACCAGTGTGGCTGCCTTGCTTGTTCTTTGCCTCAATTTGCAAGCTACACTACCTGTGGGACACCTAACCCGTGGACTGTGTCACTGTAATTTGAGGCTCCTTCAAGACATGCTTCGCCACAGCATTGGAATGTACATCTCTTGAGCTGGGGACTTGTTGGACCCTGTCATCTGGCTGACTGTTGGTGACCTGCCTTGCTGTTTGCTGCCTGTGCCCGGATAGTCTGCATTGCTCTACAGAGGACTACCCAGCGGCCCTCAAGACTTGAAGGACTGCCAGTGTCTCACAACTGTCTCACGGGAGTGAGTTGCCATTTGTACTGCTTTACAATTTAATTAACTGTTTATTTATGTTATACATCTATCTGTATAAATATATATAAAATTGTTAGCATTCTGGTTTTGTTTCTCTAGAGAACCCTGCCTAACACAACATAATTGGGTAAAAAGAAAATTCAAACATAATGGAAAGTTGGTGGATGAAAGAATTTTTTTAAATTTATTTTTTATTGTTGAGAATATATGCAGCAAAAGCATAAACCAATTAGTTCCTACATGAACAGTTCAGTGACACTGACTCCATTCAGATCGGACATTCTCTTCTTTCCTGACTGTTCTTTCCCCATACACACAAGCCCATGGCCCCATCTAGTCTTAGGAGTTACTACTGGTCACCGTGATTTCATACCCCACTGCCATTGAGGCCATTCTGACAGAACTGCACTGCCCCTCCCTCTGGGTTTCTGAGGCTGTCAATCTCCTGTCCTGCGGGGCGCTGACCTTGTGGTCAGCAGCCTAACTGTCCTGTGCATAACCTACACCACCAGATAGCTTGAAAAGAATTTAATGCTTACAGGATTCCTTATGAGCTAAACTATTGTTTGCTTCAGGGAATACCTTGGGTTTAAAGATTCTTCTAGGTCAACAGTTTCAAGGGTTCAATTCAAATCCATGAGATGAAAAAAATCTGTTCTAAATTTCCCCCTTTTGATCAGTATTCTTCTATAGTCTTTGATCAAAATGTGCAGTAATGGTAGTTAGGTGCCAACACTTATTCTGGTCTCAAGGAGGAGGAGGCAGCTGTTTAGGAAGCCACACTCTTGTTTTATCCTCCTATTCCTGAGCAATCTTTTTCTGTTGCACCACACGGAGATACCAGTAGTTGTCACTAGGATGGCATCTTGTAAGTTTTTCAGATCAGATTCCAGGCACCAGACAGGGAAATAAGAGATTTGGAAACTAATTGTGGGAGCAACTGAACAATATTGCTTGATGTGATTGAACTGTGGAATGATCTATGTATTAACTCCCAATTAAAAATAAATTTAGGTTGGGGGGGGGAGAGGAGCTGAGACCAAGGGCTCAAATAGAAAACACATGTTTAGAAAATGATGGCAACACGTGTACAAATATGCTTGATACAATTGATGTATGGGTTGTTACAGAGATGTAAGAACCCCCAATAAAATAATATTTTAATTATAAATAAAAATAAATTTAGAAAGCACTAAACATGTCATTAGACCAATTAATGGTATGTCCCATGAAACCATAACAAAGGACTTATTTTTGATCTCAATGAAAATGATTTAAACTCATCACAACAGAGGGCTATGGAAGTTTGAAATAATGTTTTCCACCAACTTTTTTGAAGCCCTCTTGCATTTAGGATGTGTTGCTAAAGGGTTTTGTGTGTGTGTGTGAAATAGACAGGGTTGGGTGGAAGTGTTCCACTTAGCAATTTCATGACACTGATTGCAATCCCCACACAGTAACAGCTCTCTTTTCACCTCCTCCCTGTGTGGGCCGCTTCTCTTCACCCTTCCTTCCTCCCCTCCCTGCCTTCTGAGTTGGATCGTTGGGCAAATACTGTTCTTTTCAACTTGAATGGCTGATTATTCCAGTGAACGCTCATCTCCCTGCCGTGACTGATCACCGGAGAGGCCTGACATTTATAGACAGTTATTATTAGGCGAAGATTCCCTTTAGATACAGAAATCGTTTGTATTTCTATATACCCACAACAAATAATTGAAAAATGAAATCGAACCATCAATTCACAAAAGCATAAAGGCAAAATAGGTAATGAATCTAAAAAGTGCTTAAAATTTCTACACAGACACACACACAGACACACACACACTTAAAGAGCTTTAAAAAGTTCAGGAGAAAATTCCATTATTTTCACGAACTTTTTGAAATACCCTGGTATGTAAAACATTGCTGAAAGCAAGAGAACCTATGCATGTTGATAACCTTATTTATAGATCAGGGGCTTCAATGCCAGACAGTTCTTCCCCAGATAGAACTAAGAAACCCTTTCTTTAAGAGCAAACAACAAACCCATAAAACCAACACTCACTGCACTGGGTTGATGCTGACTCACAGTGGTCTTACAGGGCAGAGTAGAACGGACCTGTGGGTCTCTGAAGCTGTAACTCTTTACTAGCATAGAACGCCTTCTCCACCCCCCAGTTGGTTGTTTCTAACTGCTGACCTTGCATTTATCTGACCAACTGGTAACTGAAACCCTGCTTAGCAACCTTTGTGAAGATAACAGATATGAAAGACTAAAAATAATGAGCACGAAGCATCATGCATTGGTAATTGACATCAATTAAAAAAAAAACACAGAACTGAAGGTCTGACTTCAGTTTTAGGCCCTGAACGGGTAACTGGGTGAGATTCTGCACAGAGCCACCGATGAGAACCCATGTTGGAGGACTCCATCATTTCTCACAGCAACAACGCAGAGCTGAGTCACAAGAGCTTGACATCCTGAGATTCGGCCAGAGGACCCGCAGTTTGGAGACTCATCTGACCATAGACACACTGCCCCTTTCTAAAGAATTAACTAACGTAAAAACAATGACTGATTTACGAGCTGAAAATAGCAACAAGCTCAACTCCAAAGCTCATGCTTTTAAACAAGATTCAACACGATTTATTTACATACTCATGACATCCATTAATAGTATCGTATAATTAACTAAATCTAGGAACAATGGTGAGGATGAAACATAAAAGAATTCCAGAGTGTAGGCATGTTGAAGTACATTTGCACAAGTTCATAATATATAGTAACAGAGCAGCCATTACAAAGTTACGGGCTGTATGTCAAGTCACTGCTTAAAACTGAAAGCCACACAGCTATTAAAATAATGGGCAATTTGCAAATGCAAATATTACAAGTATAATACATGCATGGCTATCACATTTTTTATCTTTAAAGCCATTTTAAAGTAAACAAGTAACAATAACAGCTGTACATCAAGGCACATATTTTTTGTGCTTTAGGAATGATTTACATATGATTTGCGTACTTAGTTTTACGTCTAATAAAGAGTCTCTAATGTGTGAAAGTTTAATTTTAACAATTATAGCTACTATGACGATTTCTCAGAAAAGTGGAAACTCCTTAGGGTGACTCTGAAAATCAGGAAATTGGTTCGCCTCAAGATGTGGAAATGTAAAATCAAACACGTGAGTTAATGTGATGTAGTTTTCAGAGAACTTCGGGGACTGAACGAGGCCGCAGTGGCGCTCTCACTACTTCTCGGTGGCGTGGCAACGACAGCACCTCAGGGCTGGGGCAGCGGTCTACATTGCGGTCCTGTTTCTAAACTCGTACTCTTGGAACGAAATTGAACAGTTAAACATGATACAATGGGTGAAAACACACCAAACCTGGTTTACACGTGTTCAATCTTGCAAATGAACTAGTTTTCGTTGTTGTTGTTCATGTGCAGGTTTTTATTCTATCTATTGATTTATGTTATCAGGAAAAATTCCGTCAACATTACTTACTAATACCACTCTTTTGTCATGGTCAGTTTACTCGCCTGGCAGAGATGTAGTTGCCTAAGGCGTAATAGGCATTTCATGCATTTGAGTGGCATTCAAAAGTGTCAGCTATTAATTTATAATTTCCCCATATAGGTAAGTATGCTGTGCAAACTTGATTTTAACATGTGACTTATTAAGTGCTTAAATGAGAATAAAGTTCCCTGACTTAGAAGGGGTTAAAATAAATAGCAAGTCAACAATCATATATTTGAAGCCTTTAAAAAATGTAATACCTACACACTCTACTAAAATGCCTTATATTGGAATTTTCTTTTAATCCATAAATGGGGCAAACGAAATCACAAAACCTTACCTCTTTATTTTGAAAATAAGAGAAGAAAAGCCATTGGTGCAGCCTTTTACACTCAAAATATATAATAAAATCATGTCAAAATACAAATGAAACAGAACAGTTTTTAATTTAGTACAGTCCTTTATAAACATTATCATAAAAAAGTAGACCATGATAAACCACTGCCATCAAATAGATTCATTTAAAATTTTTCTTTACAGTAAATGGACTTTTCTACAGAACCCATTGGCCAAAAACCGTTTAGAAATGTCATATCAGCAAATAACCAGAGCCTGAACATAGCTACAAACTCCCGTAGTACTGTAAACAAATGCTCCGTGCGTCCACCTGTGGCTGACATCTCCACTCCGAGACTCACTCAGCTTCGGGGATGTGTGCCACCTCTACTTCCACAGTTTGAATAGCTTCTGCAACTTCAGAAAGCTTCTGTCCTTGCTGCTGTGCCAGTACATAATTAACCACTTGCATGATACTTTGGTCAGAAAGGGTAGACACCGATGGACACTCTTCAGTGGCTGCAACGGCTTCGAGAGCGTCCATCGTCTCGCCGGTCACTACTACAGTCTCCAGCTCCTGTGGGCCGCTCTCCTCCTGCCCCTGCACGTCTGTGGTTAAGATGCTAACAGCATGCTCCACTTGCGTTCCCTGGTTATGAAACTGAAGGGTGTCTTTTTCCAGCATAATTTTGCAAGGCACGTAATCTCTGTGGAATTTAGTCATATGTTTGCGCAGTGTTCGAGCGTCTATGTAAGCTTCACTACATACTGGACAGACATAGGGCCGCTCACCAGTGTGTGTTCTTACATGGCGCTTCAGTGATCGGGCATCAGCCCAAGCCACTCCACATGTTAAGCACTCAAATGGCTTAACTCCTATGAGAAAAATAAAAATAATAAGGGGTATAAATATAAAAATTTATTAAAGTTGCCAGCCAAGTAATGTTTTTCTTTTAAGATAGGAACCTAAAAGTCTTTTATTTTGACTTTAGCAATCTTTTATTCAGGATCTCTCTAGAGAAGTTACCATATGCAGAAATTACTGAGAAAGAAATTTGAGCTAAATGGGTCTTCGGGTACAATCTCATTTGATCTTTACAACAATCTAAATACACAGAATAAGGAAACGGGTTTCAAGTAGTTTAGAGGTCAGCATATTAAAATGGTGATACAGAATTAAGATCACTGAAAAAGGTAAGTGGATTCTTCAAAATATTAGTAGAAAAATGGAACTGAAGGATAATGGAAATTTCCATGATTTTTTTAAATTTAAAATTTACTTCCCATAACTTACTTTGGAGCCCTTCAGACATGTACACACACATATTGTGTTTGTGTATATATATATATAAAACAACTAACTCTGGTTCAGAACCACTTATATATCAACTGAATAAATGTTCTAAGATAAGGAATTAATCTCTGATTAAGAAAAGTGTGACAGTAGGCAAGAGGAGAGATGACGATTTCTGCTCCGTTGACGCACAGTCAGTATTAAGTGTAGTTACCGTCATGGTTGTTCATGTGTCGTCTATACTCTCTGAGCTGAGTGAATTTTCTTCCACATTGTTCACATATCCGTTCCAGGTTCTGCTTTGCTCTTCCCTTTTTCCCATGAGTAGCCTTCTTCACATGCCTTCTGAACAATGCTTTTTCATAAAACTCTTTGCCACAAATATTGCACCTACAATATAGGGGAGAAACCATCTATTTTTTTTTTCAAAAGACTATGAGCCTTTAGAATCAATCCACATATATATTTATGTCAATTCAAACGTAGTCAATTACGTTCAGAACCTTCTCAAATGTACACACCTGTACGGCTCAGTGACAGAATGAGACTTCACGTGAGAGTACCAATCTTTCTTCCAACTATAGCACTTATCACAGAACTGGCACTGGAAAGGCTTCACACCAAGATGTTTGTTCATATGCTGCCGAAGATCTCTAGCTTCAAAGAAACTTTTTTCACATCTGCAACAATAAAGTTCAATCATGCAAATGGATCATCTCTTATTTCTTATTTCCAAGAACTCAGGATATACTTGGTTTTCTAGACCTCCGTCATATGATGATCTCAATTTAAAATACAATATTCGAGCACTTCAATCTTTTATCCAGGCTGCTGGATTTTGAGTTCTGTCAGCTCTGGAGGGTTATATAGATTTTACAAAGAGTATGCAGAGTCCCCCAAGTTGTTATGCTGGAACACTGATGGTCTGCCTCTTCTCATTGTAGCTCTTTTACAGAAGGAGCCCTACATTTTCATTTCAGGACTCATCCCTCTCCCCATCTCCGTCTATGTACTGGGGATGAGCTTCACCCTGACTACAGGGCTGCAGCTATTACTGACTGAGGTTCAAGGGAGTCTGGCCAGTGACTGATTCAGCGAAGACCCAATGATTTAACTTGATCAAATCGGATAGAACCCTGGACCTTAATAGGAGCTACTAGAAATGCAGCTTGACTACCTGGGAGTTGAGAGGCTGAAGAGCAACTAGTTTGTAACCATTTAAACCTTCAAACTGTTTAATTAAACCATTTAAACTCCTAAACTTTTACCTTTCTTTCAACCAGTGAAGGCTGGCTTTTCTAGCATTTGCAACTGTCTTTATAGTAAACTTCCGGCTTTAAAACTAGTTAGAATGACAATACCAAATATGGCAAAGTAAGGAATTCTAAAAGCCTAACTCTGAAAGGAATGGGAATTGGCAGACTGTTTGAACCAACTTTATGAAAACCTTGGAAACTACCGCACATCCTTGAGTGTAAGTCGAGTTTTCCAGGACATTTTTTAATGCAGTTTTTGTGGTAAAATTAGGTGCCTCGGCGGATATTCGGGCTGGCTTTATAATCAAGTACATGTGGTAGCAAAGTTTACAGTAACCAGGCAAACAGTCAAGAAAAAACTTGCAATTCATTATGAAAGCTATGTGGCATTTTCACCTACATGAGCCTCACTCTCTGACTCCCCGGGCAGTGACTTAGAAGATAGTACGTCTTATTCCCAATATAGGTTCCTGTACTAGAGGGAGAAGAGGGCACCTTAGTCTACAAAATAAAGGCATTAGCTGTTAATGCCTGGGATAAGGAGGCATTATAACAGCTGGGCAAATAACTACAGCTTGAGGTCTGCCTAGGGAATGAGGTGTTTTGAATGGATTCCAACTTCTACAGGCCATCTGGGACAGGTTAGAACTGCCCCCAGAGTTGCCTAGGCTACAATCTTTATGGGAGCAGATTGTCAGTTCTTTTCTCCTACGAAGTGGCTGGTGGGTCCCAACAGCCAATCTTTTGATTAGCAGCTACGCACTTAAAAGTCATGCCACCTGTGCTGTAAAAAGCTCAGGACCAACAGTTCCAGGGGGACACGGGAGAGGGGGAAGTGGGGGGAAAGGTAGTGGTGTTAACAAACCGAGGGACAAGGGAACAACAAGTGATC